ACAAAACACAAGTACTCCTGGCCTCATGGAGCTTACACCCCAGCGGCAGAAACTGATCTGAAAAGCCAAATAGAACGATGACTGATAAGACTCTTGGAGTTCCTTTTTTTTTTTCTTTTAATATACTTGACAGAGCACAAGCAGGCAGAGTGGCAGGCAGAGGGAGAGGGAGAAGCAGGCGCTCCGTCGAGCAGGGAGCCCGGTGCGGGGCTTGATCCCAGGACCCTGGGACATGACCTGAGCCGAAGGCAGATGCTCAATGACCGAGCCACCCAGGCGCCCCTTGGAGTTCCTTTCAAAGAGCCAGGTCCTCTCCTTGATGGTTTATAAGGAACTTAGCTTAGAAATAATGTTCCCTTAGGTGGTGTCTTCAGTGCAGCCCGCTGGCTGTGGGGATTGTTTGTGCCACTGATCCCCCAGTGGGGGCTGAGGGACTCCTGCAGGCACCAGCCCCTTTGTGCAAGGGAGAGGGTCTGGTTCCCCCTTCCTCACAGGGTCATTGTGAGTATTCTGAGATCTTGCTTTGGCACAGTGCCTGTTGCCTGGTAACATACGCTCTGTTCACCATGTCTGCCTCCTTTGCTGCTTAGAGCAGACATGGTGGTCTAACAAGTCCCCCTCACTCACCGTCCGGGTCCCTGCTGCAGCTGCAGACAGGGCGAGAGGCTTCCAAGCTGACCGAGTCGCAAGGGTAATGGGTATGATGGCAAGAATGGAAACCCAGCAACAGCTGGGGTCCCGCATGCTGCCTCTCCCCAGCCCCCTCCAGGCTGCTCAACACAGACTGTGGAGACACAGGCAGCCGTGCCCCGATGTGGCAGGACAGTTATCCTTGTTGGGCCTGTCCAGGGTCTGTTCTCCTTCCCAGCCCCAGTGAGCATTCCCCTGCATGTGCCCTGGGCAGGCCTTTCTAGAGCCCCATGGCCAGGAGCCAGCAGCACTGCCTGTGAGAGGCGCGCGGTGGGGTGGGGGTCTGGAATGGGGATGGTTACCAGCACTGGAGTTTCTGTGCCTTATTTCCTACCTTTCCCAACAGTGCTGTCAGTTAACGGCTGTCAATGCCCCTTATAGGTGAAGAAAGGGTAAGAATTCACCCAAGCCACTCTCCTAATAAGGGACAGAACCAGCATTTGAATGCGGGTTGTCCAAGTCCAGAGCCAGGGTTTTGCCTGAACTCCACAGCCTTTCTCCCCTCTGTGATCCACCCACACATCAAATGCACGGGGACAGAGAGCTCCCTGGGGCCTCTGGGAGCACGGGGAGCACTTGGCTTTGCCCAGTTGAGGCTCCTGAGTGCTGGCTTTGACAGCTTTGAAAGAGAAGAACCATGTGGGGAGCAGTGCCACATTTTGGAAGAAAATACCCAAGGAACTAGCGGTCCTAAAGGGCACAGTTGGAGGGACCTTGGAGGTCATCTCCCCGCATCCCTCATTTTCCAGAGGAGAAAATGGAGGCCCCTGTGGGGAGGGGAGGTCCCTGCGTGCAGAACTTCTGACCACCCTGCAGACTGCCCAGTGTGCTTGGAAGCCCTGTACTGGTGCCCAGATACCGGCAGGGGGAACAGACTTGAATCCAGCCCCGCCTCCTCCCTGCTGGGTGGCTCTCGGCCACTGACACTGAGAGTATCCCCAAGGCCAGGTCTGCAGGTTGTGTTGCGGGGCTTCAGAGATCGCGGATGTGGGGAGCCCGTTCAGCACCTGGCCCCTGCTGGGTACCCAGTGAACCTCAGCTATTATTACCACCCTGGTTCAGTGAGTGCCGGGCAGCACCAAGTCTCTTAGGTGTCGCTTTGCTTCTCTGGTTTCGCGGGACTCCATTCCTAGGACTAGGGAGGAAACAACGCCCCCTGTCATCATTGAACACTGAGATCCATCTCGGGGAGGACTGAGCTTCAGCTCTGTACCTATTTAGGATTAAAATCCCTTGGGCTGTAGCTGAGGTGGCAGCCCCAAGTTCCCAATGTGCCTGTGGCTCCAGGCCCATTGCTTAACCTCTGCCTAGGTCAGATTTCTGTCAGCTAAATGAGCATGGTAGTGACCTGCCTCCTTACCCCCTACCCCGCCACGGGAAGTTTACTATGTCCATCTGAGGGAGGGATGGCTGTGAAGTCTAACGTCATTCAGAGAGGCTATGTCCCTGTGGGGTTTTTCTTGTGGTGGTGACATGGGTGTGTGTTGGGGGGGGGGGGCAGACAGACTTCTCTTCCAGAGAGACAGAGCTACCAGGGAGTGACAACTGATACAGAAGTATAGCATCCTCGCCACTGAACCCTGGGGAGTAAGAGGTGAGACCTGTGGAAATCCTGCCAAATTCCACCTCTTCCTTCCCTCCCTCACCTCATACAGCCCTCCTTCTAGAGCCACCAGAAACCCCATCAGCCTGACTGCAGTTTCTAGCTTCATCCCCCATGCCTAGGCGTGAGTTTGGAGCTTCTCACTAGGGGTTGATGTAATGTCTTTGGATCCCACATCCTCTCACCTGGTTTTCTCAAGACTAAAGGCAATTAGGCACAGGCCAGGCTGGGCTGAGGGAAGCAGCCAGTGGCAAGGGAGGGCCATCCTCCAAGTCTTTCCACTCTGCTGACCCAAGAGCCTGTGTGGAAGTGGGGGTACGAGGAGGGCAGTTCCCTTACATTTCCTTATGGTTTGGGAATGCCCGTGGGGCTTGACTCTTAGGCAGCAAGCTTTTCCTGGCTTCCTACAGAGGGCATGACCCCTGGATCAGCCTCATGATTCCTGGGGAAACCAGGAATGGCTTGGCTTGACAGTGGTTTTCTCTATGGAGATGAATCCTGGCCCCTCTAGCTGTCTAATTAAACTTCCCAGGCAAGAGACACCCAGGAGAGCAAGGCTGGCCCACGGCTCCAGGGCCAGTGGCATCTCCATAGCATCTCCTGTTGTTCTTGACCTCCACCTGCCTCGGGCCTCAGATTCCCTGCTAGTCTTTGTGAGACCCTCTTTGTACACTCTTTCCAGGGTCCTATTCTCGATGTGGATGTTTCTGGACTTGTTGACGTACCCTCGCGGTCTTGTTCGGAGTGAGGAAGAGGGTACTGCAGTAGCGACCATGATCCTTCTGCAGCAAGAACTCATTAGGTTTTTCTTTCTTCATTTTCCTTCATTCCAACAGAAATGGAATGAGCCTCTCTTACACGCACGGTTCAGTCCTGCATGCTGGAGAAATGGGGGAAAATGAGTGCTGCTGATGGAGGTGGTTGGGGAAGACATGGGCTGTGACCTCACCTTTGCCTGAGTCCTGAGGCTGCTTCGTTTAGAGTCGGGGACCTAATGTGGACCAGGACACTCTGTGAGAGCCAGTGTCCAGTAGCACCAGCAAGAAGCAAACTCCGTGCTAACTCTGCCCACGTCCAGGGACCAGCCTGCCCAAAGTCAACTCCTAAGTCCCTTCCAGCATCCTGGGCCCCAGCAATATCGGGCAGCTCTTTTTTCTGGAACACATCAAGCACTGCCATCCTCTGGACCTTTGCTCTCACTACTCAGGCATCCAATACCTTGCCCTGCCCTGCCTCTTAAGAATTTATTCAGGGCGCCTGGGTGGCTCAGTGGGTTAAGTCTCTGCCTTAGGCTCAGGTCATGATCCCAGGGTCCTGGGATCAAGCCCCGCATTGGGCTTTCTGCTCGGTGGGGAGCCTGTCCCCTCCCCCCTGCCTGCCTCTCTGCCTACTTGTGATCTCTGTCAAATAAATAAATAAATAAATAAATAATCTTTAAGAATTTATTCAAAGGTTTATTCACCTTCTGTGAGAAGCCTCCTCTAAGACTACCTTGTAATGCATTATTCCTTCCTTTGTGATCCCTGCTCAGTTTATGGGACATTTACCCACTTCGAGTCTGCTCTGTGCCGGACACTGTGTGGAGCCCACCTTGCCTTCTGCTCTGAACACAAGCGGTTCACATCGGATTCTCAATGCCTCCGGGGCTGGGGCCAAATCTCTGTGATTTCTGTGTCTGTGTCTCACCACTGTGTTTTGCACTCTGTGGAAAGTGCAAACGGAGAGATGGCTTCTAGACTGGGCTCTGCCCACTAATTAGTCGTGTGGCCTCGGGCCAATCTTCCAGCCTCTCTGGTCTCCTTTCTCCCTGACAAATAGCGGTGATGATACCCATGGTTGTTCAGGGGACAGTGAAAGGTCTGGAGAGAAGACTCCTGAAAGCTGGGAGCCCCAAGCCAGTGAAAGATGTGGGGGTAGTTGTACCCCCATCCTTTCATCGGCGGCGAAGCCGATTCTCAAACCCTCCGCTCTCTTCGAATGTCAAGTGCACCAGCTTCCAATCCCTCCTCGGGGCGGGCCTTTGGGCGGCTGGGAATCCTAGGCTGCAGAGGATTCCGGGGCAAACTCCAGACTCTCCTCCCGCACATCCGTCCCTTCCCGAGGCCTCGCAGAACACTCCTTAAACCCGGCGCCGGAGCACAGCTCCGAGCGCAGCCCAGAACCGCAGCTTCGCGGCGCGGGCCCGGGCCGGGGTCGCGCATCTCCAGCCGTGACTCAGGGCCGCTCGGGCCGGGGGTGCGTGGAGGTAGGCGGGACCGACTAGGGCCGCGCGGGGGCAGGCGCCGGGCGCTCGGTCGCTGAGCTGTGGGAGCAGAGGCTGGTTCTGGCCGGTCGCCATTCCACCGCGGGCGTCTGGCTCGCGGGGCCTTGCTCCAGTGCCGCTTCGCACCCGCCGTGCTCCTCTACCCGTGCGCCGCGGCCGGGGCAGCCCGCGGGGGCTGGAGCGCGGGGCGGGCTCTGCGCGCGAATGAATGGTCGCCCGGGGGACGCGCGCGCTCGGGGCTGAAGGGCATTAGGACCGTGAGGATCGCTCCGCGCTCCTGTCTCTCCCTATCACCCCCCACCCCCCACCTCTCTCCCTTTTCTGCTCTGCAGGACTGAGCAGCCAGGCGCGAGCGAAAACAAACAGCAGGGGCTGCGAGCGTCCCCACCCCGGCCCCGAGAGCAACCGGCCCGGGTCCCCACTCGGGGCGCCCGCCCGCCCACCATGAGGAAGATCCGCGCCAATGCCATCGCCATCCTGACCGTAGCCTGGATCCTGGGCACTTTCTACTACTTATGGCAGGACAACCGAGCCCACGCAGCATCCTCCGGCGGCCGGGGCGCTCAGAGGGCCGGCGGGAGGCCAGAGCAGCTCCGCGAGGACCGCACCATCCCGCTCATTGTGAGTACGCCCTGCGCGCCGGGCGGCCGGCCGGGGAGCCGCGGCGCGCGTCCTCAGCCCCGCGCGGCTGCAGAGGGCGCGGGGCAGGGGGCTGCGTGCCCGGCTCGCCCTGCCGGCTTTGTATATGTTGGAGCATTCCTGTCCGTTGTTATGGCAACCTCTGTTGGGCCAGCCGGGCCAGGGCGCACGGATGGAGGGAGGGTGACAGCGGATGGGGGCTGGGAGAAAGTGCTGCAAGTTTGGTGGGCCCGGCGAACGCGCGCGACTGGGAACGTGGCTCTCTCAGCACTGCGCGGGCGGAGCCGGGGGCTGGAGGTCGGGGGCCGGGGACAGTCCGCACCTCGCCAGCCCCAGGAAGGCAGCTGGACCTTGAGCGTAGCGAGCCGGCAGTGGGAACCTCGCGCGGCTGAGCGCGTAGGAGGCGGTGCGCAGCCCCTCTCTAGTCTCCCGGGGGCAAAGGACGTGGGGTGGGGGCGTTGGGTAAGGCAGGGTCGCTAGGGGCTGCGCCGGGCTTTGCGCCCCCATTTTCGGCTCGGATCAACTTGAACTTGCTTCTCTCGCACGGAGGACTCGAGTTCCCACTGCACCCGCGGTGTTCTCTGGGTCCGGGAAAGGTCTCTCTTCCTGTATGCGCCCTTCACCCCAACACGAGGGTCCATCACGACTGGCGAGCTGGCAGTGTGTGCGCTACGGCTGGGAGATTCCCTCTCTCGCGGTCTACTCCGCGATGCGCTAGTGGGGAAACAAAGGTGGCGGAGCACGGCTGGGGCCTCCGCGACGTTGCCGGGGCCCTAGGCGCTCCGGGGACTTGGGCTGGGGCGTGCGGAGACCCCGTCGCCCTGCAGGGGGCGTTGCTGTCGCCGCCTCCGCCGGGTCCCCGGGTGACTGCCCTGTGTGGCAGGGGCACCTGTTGAGGCGGGAGGCTCTGGGACCCGCGGAGAGGCGCGGTCGGGGGACCGCGTTCTTCCGACAGGGGCCGGTGGTGGGCGAGAGCCTGGGGCGACCCTCGGAACAAGCTGCTGCGCTGGGGCAGCTCTGCCAGAAGAGGACCAGGAAGAGGGAGAGCAAAGTGTGGGGCCAAGGGGGGAGAGTAGAGCTGGGTGGCCATTCTGATGGAAAAGATCTGGGCCTGGGGAGGGAGGAGTGCGAAGCTCCTCTGGGAGGGGAGATGCAGGTTCAGGAGGTCGAAGGCTTGTGTGGAGTAGAATCTGGGATATTTCTGCAAAGGCAGCTGAGCCCCAGGAATATGGGGAGGCGGGTGTCAGTGTGGAAATGTTCACATATTCCCAACCTGCCCCAGATGCCGTGTCTTGTCAAACCCCCCCCACCCTCCCCACCTCTGGAAGACGTAAAAAAAAACCCTGCAGGGGAACCGTATTTCCTAGCTTTGCCTCTGGAGACCTTGGGGTTTATGGGTTTTCTCCAGCCCCCACCCCCAACTCCCAGATCCCTGTCCAGCTGAACTCTGTGGGTGAGCCTGATTAGGTGGCTTGTTCCCTTCTGAGCCCAGGGTCGCTGTCACTAGGAACTGTTTCCAGAGCACTTGAGGATGTTTGGACGGAAAGGCTGATGAGCATAAATCTTCCAGTGTAAAGACTCCAGGGTATTGGGATCTGGGCAGACTGACAGAGTGGAGTGGGAACTGGCCAAACCAGTAGTGGCCCCAGACCTGCAGGGAGCTTGTGCAGGACCCATCCGAGAGACCCTGTTCTTACACCCTGAGAGGGCCAGCCCAGGTCTCAGGGTAGGGGGGCTTGGATGGGCCGGGGAGAGGCAGGCTGGCCAGATGTTCTGTCCTTCGCTCTGGTGACGCTCTAGTGACGTGTGGGGAAGAGGGTCTGAGGTGAAGCAGGAGGGGGAGGGGAGAAAGGAAGGGAGAAAGGAAGGGGAAGGGAAGGAAGAGAGCCCAGGGAAACTGTCGGTGGGAGCGGAGCTGGAGTATGGATCTCCTCACAATTGTCTCTCCTTCAAAATCCTGACCTTGCTCTTGGACCTATCCTTACTCCTCCTTGCCCTCCAATATGCCGGGAGGGCCGCTCAGACCAAGAGCCCTGGAACGGTGCAGGGGCTGGTGAGGGGGGGCGGGCTCTGCTGGAGGCCCCCGCCGAGTTTTGAGAGGAGGAAATTGGAGGTCGTGAGGGGGCGCCCATGAACAATCTCCGGCCCGCTCCTTGTTCCCATGGGGTTCGACTTGCTGCAGATTGGAGCAGGGCTGTGAACTGGAAGCTAAGTTTAAAGTGTGAAGGATTATCAAGAAGATCCCGGGAGCCAGGGAGTGGAGGTGCAGGAAGAGAGGGAGAGTGGGAGTTCCGGGGAGCGAGCCACAGCCTCTTCTCCGGCCACCGCGGGCCCTGGCCAGCGCCCTCTCTGTTCTTTAGTTTTAGCTCTGTTCTGCTGCATAGATTGGTCCCCAGTCACACACCTCCCTAGACACAGCCTTGCATTGTCTTCCTATCTTCCGAGGTATTTCAGTTCAGGAGGGTTATTAGTCATATAGGCTGTCACGCAGGGACTATGCTGGAAGCTTCTTACATTTCCATATTGATGCACACAGCCAGACTTAATAAGTACTTGTTAGGCGAATGAAGTAGGATTTCTGCCCGTCTCTGGGAGCAGCCAAGCTTCACCCCCCGCCCCAGGTCCCCCATCCTAGTGTTTTGTTTCTGGCTCCAACCTGAGCATAACTAAGGAGGTAGGGGAATGCATGTTCATCTCCCCTGGGGGTTGAACCCTTTGTCCTGCCTAAAAGAGGCAGGTGCCTCTGAGGGTTGCTTTCTCCCGGAACGCTGTGGTGAACCTCTCACTGGTCTCCCTGCCCTTCTAAAACATGTCTCTATCTAGTTGGGCCAGGACGCTACATGTGGGTTTTCAAATTCTTAGGGAATGATGTGGCCAGCGCTGCTGACAGAGGCTGAGAAAATTCAGACAAGCGTCATCATCACTCCCCTGGGGAATTGGAGAGCAGAGCTGGGAAAGGGAGGGTCTGCCTAACAGCCTGGGGCGGGGGCGGGGGGGGGGACACGCAGCTCTGCCTTCACAATGTCTGGGCTATTCGAAGCCGGCCAAGTTGCTTCTAGACCTTGGAGGCCCTGTTTGGCATTGTGGGGTGTCGGCATAGCAACCGTATGGCCCGGATTTCTCAGGGAGGTCCTGATTTTTAATATTCTGTCCTGCTGTCAGCCCATGTGTCACAAATTTTGATGTGAAAAATTGGTTATGGAATGTGTAAAACTACAGGGAGATACTGACTCCGTCCCTAAGTGTCTGCTGACGATGTGGCAGGACTCGTGATTTTTCCATGCCGTTTTTTCTGGGCAATGCAGTGGGTTTGGGGAAATCCACTTGAATCTACATTGATGCATGCTGGCCCCGGACAGCCGCTAAAGCAGGCGGCCGAGCAGACGCGGCCGAGCAGACACGGCCGGCCTCCGGTCCTCAGACCTCGCAGTCGGGAAGAACATTTGTGATTGGTTTGGCACCCAGGTTTTCCATATGCTAGTTCTCTAAGAGGCATGGGTGGGATGCTAAGGTGCTACACGGAATTTCACTTTGCAGGCATATTTTTAAAAGACTGTCCATTACGAATATTTTCAGGAAAGGGGTACTCATTTGCAACATTGCCTGTTTGGAACCGTGAAAGTCTTAGGCATGAGGTTTTTTTTTTTTTTTTTTTTTTTAAGATTTTATTTATTTATTTGATGGAGATAAAAAGCACAAGTAGGCAGAGCAGCAGGCAGAGGGAGAGGGAGAAGCAGACTTCTCTCGACAAGCAGGGAACCCGATGTGGGACTCGATCCCAGGACCCTGGGATCATGACCTGCACTGAAGGCAGACACTTAGCCAGCTGAGCCACCCAGGTGCCCCAGGCACAAGTTTTCTTATCCTCCAGTTCGAATCCTGCTGATGATTATGGACAAAATATTTATATCTCTGGACCTTGGTTATTTTATGTCAAATGGGGGTTAAATGATTTCTAAGGTTTGTTGATCCTTAGACAAGCTCATGAGAACTTCATTTCTAGAAGCAAATAAATTGGCTTCAAGGGAATTTTCCTGAGGGGCGTTGTGAGGTTTATTGCTTGTGGAGGGACAGGTCCCTGTCAGGAGGAGGTCCTGCAATGACCCCCGAGGCCTCAAAGGGATCTCTGCTCACCGAGCAGGAGGGGACACAGGTGACGGACGGCTTTCCTGGTGCTGTGCCCTGAGAGTGGAGGCTTCAACAAGATCTTGATGGGTTCATATTTTATTTATCATGTGTGCATTTCGGAACTGTGGAATAGGGTTTGCCTAAAAGACAGAAAATGATTTTATATTTCATTTGTCTAGGTGCCACACACAAGACAGAGGATGGGGAGGGAGATGCATGTTCACCTGTAGCTCCCCTTGCCAAAGTGCTCAGATTGGGAAGCACCTGGTCTTCCGTCACTTGGGTCTCAGCCTGGGTCATGCTGAGACCTTCCTGTAGGACTTGGGGACAGCACAGAGGCACCAAGACTGGTAAGGGCCTGAGAGCCCAAGAGTCACCTCCCTGGGAGGCCTGAGGCCCGAGGTCCCAGGATTCTAAGGTGCTGCTCACTCTTCAGATGGGCGCCATTATTTCTGTGCAGTAGCAGTAGTTCCCGCACTGGCTGCTCCAGGCCTTGGGCCTGGCTTTCTCCTCTGGTAGTCGAGTTTACCAGCTCTGGGAGCAGAGGAAGCCCTTGGGTCTGGAAATGCCACTTCAGGAGATGTGGAGGGGCGCAGGCCAATCAGACAATTTCCTGGGTGCACTTGCAGACGGTGTGCAACGGCTCTGGAAATGGCCTGCAGGGTCTTGGTGTCTCTCCTCTAAATAGACACTTGTGCTCTTTGATTCCTACCTGTCTGGCCTCTGTCAAGGCTGTTACCTCTGTGTGATATTTATGGAGGCTGCGTTTGTTGGCTACTTCTATGGTAGATGTCTCACAAACTTCAACCTCTCAGATTCCCCTCAACAACCTGACAAGGTAGGTGCCATTATCA